AAAATATTACAATTAAATAAAGACTGTTCCATTTGGGACCCTTAAACGATTGCTTTAGTGGCCTAATGGTCGAGACGACCCTGCCTAACAAACAACTAGATTCTTCATTTTTTGAAGCTTGAATTTTTAAATTTGTCTTCATGGACGCAATATAGCTCTGAGAAAATGTTAGCTGGATGAATCTATATTCAGTAAAACCTCACAAAATTAATAAAGGTGGGAGCATGAAATATTATTATTTTATAGAGATATTGTTTGATCAATAAATTAATATTTATTAATTTAAAATTAAAAGTGTTTCGACACCACAAAATTCGTTTGGGGATGAAATCTCAGAGAATTTAAATGAATCCACTTGTGAAAACGTCATTCAAGAACTTGGGATCATGATTAATGATCTCGGTTAGCACAATAAAATGGACGCTAATAACCTGTTGGACGGGTGAAAATGATACATGTTTATAGGTCCAGAACTTAGAAGAAATTATGGATACCATTGAAAGAAATAATGTTTATGATAAAGAAGAAGATGATACAATACTTTTGGAACAAGTTACGGTCAGGAAACACTTGTTACATTTATAACTTTTCACAATTTTATGGTGCAGTTCAAAAAGACAACACCGAAACTTTTGGATACAATAAGAAAAGTTAGAGATGAGCTTCAACAAGATTTAAATTTTAACAAAAAAAATAGAACACAATAGAATCAAGTTTCACTAAATTGTCTTGGATATATTTGTGGTTTTAATGAATTATTAATTTATAATATTAATGGGACCATATATTTATGTAGGGGTCTTTAGAAAATATATTTATCTTATTATCTTATCGAATAAGTGATTTTTTTCCATTGGCGCAAGTTGGGACCAGAGAAAAATATTATCTTAAAGAGGTTATTGATTAATCGGGTATAAATTTAATGAGGTTTTATTGTATTTGTTGAAGATCTTGTGTCACTCCACATACTAACTGCTGGTTTACTAGTTTTCAACCTGTGAATTCAAACATTCAGGTTTTCAATTCTATCTGAAGTTTACAGTTTACAAAATCTATAAAGTACTTGCTGCAGTAAAACTCTCTATTTTAGTTCAAGACTAGGATACAACATCTTTACAAACCATATGAAGCATTTATGCTACTAAACTCACTGGTCAATATTTTGCTCGTAATTAATTCACTGAATCGATTTGCTTCTAACTACTCCTGATTCTATATATTAGGAAAATTATTCTTAATCCTCCTTCAATAAGATAAGCATTCCATCTAATTTTCTATTGGCCTCATGATATTGACTAAACCACATCATCTTATTGTAACAAATTAGTGCAACTTACTGTGTTCTTTGTCTATTGTATTTACCAAGTCAAAACAGTCTTAGAAAGTGGCCTGAAAGTTAAGAAATTTAGGAGTAAGTTTAGGAGTTTGTGTAGTGGAATAAAAACACTATAAGTCAGAAGTTATATTAGAAGTAGGAGTCAGTTAATATACAGTTAATATACGCTTTCTGTTTTCTCCTATAATTCAGTTAGTATTTTTGCTATTCAAGAAGAGCTTTCGGTTGTTTCTTTTCTTTCCTGCTTTATTGTTCCTCACATCTTTCTTTTGTTATATGGTATCAGAGCCAGGTTGAAGGAGGAATTTTTTTCGTTTCAGTCCTCTTGTCTATCAGTTTATCCTGTTGGAGAAGTTTGAAAGTGTGAAGGGAAAGCTTTTGTTGTCTGTAGCAATGGAAGCCTCTAACGGAGGAAATACTCAATATGGAATAGAAAAACTTGTAGGAACTAACTACAAGTATTGGAGAATGTGTATGGAAGCATACCTTCAAGGTCAGGATCTATGGGATTTTATTGTAGGAACTGATTCAATAATCCCAGTCGATACTCATGAGAAGCAAAATCACAAAGAAAATTGAAGATCAAGTGCGGAGAAACTCTCTCTGCTTTGAGGACTTCTATTAGCATGGAGTTTATTGATCATGTTCGTGATGTTAGCTCTCCAGAAGAAGTTTGGGACATGCTTGAAAGGCTGTTTACCAAGAAAAATACAGCAAGGCTGCAACTTTTGGAGAATGAGTTGGCAATGTTACAACAAGGAGGTATGTCAATCTCAAATTACTTTTTGCGAGTTAAAAGTATTTGTGCTGAAATTTCTGAGATTGATCCAGAAGAGAAGTTTAGTGAGTCATGCCTACGACACTATCTTATTCGTGGATTGAAAAAGGAATACGACCCTTTTGTCACATCCATTCAAGGATGTCTGCAACAACCATCTGTTGAAGAATTGGAGAACATGCTTTCTAATCAAGAAGCGTTAGCTAAAGAAATAGCTAAGAACCTTGAATATGATAATGTTCTATTTTATAAAGGAAAGCCGAACAAGAAGAATGCATCAACTTGGAACAAAAATAAAGAGGAAGAAACCAGCACGGAAAAAGGTGGAAATCCACACAAAACCAAAAAGTGCTACAGATGTAGAAAAATTGGGCTCATCAAGAAAAATTGTCGAGTAAAACTTTCCAAAGACAATGTCGCGTGTATCAACGAAGGAGATGATCAAATGAAATGGGAGCAATATTTTAGCATCCAAGTTGTTGAACCAAAAATAGCACAAAATTTTATCAATTATGCCAACAATAATAAGAGAGAAGAATGGATCGTTGACTCAGGGTGCTCACATCATGTAACTGGAGATGATTCTCTATTCTCGGAGATGCGAGATCATCATGAAGATCGAGTCATTATCACAGCTGATAACTCGACATATTCAGTAGCAAAAGAAGGAGTTGTGAAGATTGAGGTTGCTGGTGATAAATCCAAAAGTATTAAGTTGCAAGATGTTTATCATGTTCCAGGTTTGATGAAAAATCTAGTCTCAGTTCCTCAAATTAATGATTCTGGAAAATATGTATTATTTGGTCCTAATGATGTGAAGGTTCTTGAAAATGTAAAAGAAGTATCTGCTGATGTTATTTTTACAGGGGAAAAGAAAGGTTCTTTGTTTGTTATGTCAGCAAGTGAAGCTTATGTGAAGAAAACAAACCAAACTGATAATGTCACAATTTGGCATGCTCAGTTAGGTCATGTAGGCTATCAAATGTTGCATCAGATCTCTTCTAAAAATTGGTAGATGGTCTGCCAACTTTGAAGAATGTACGTGAAGACGTGATTTGTCAAGATTGCAAATATGGAAAATCTCAGTCTTCCCTTCAAAAGGTCATCAAATCAGAGAACCACAATGTTTGAATTGGTTGAAACAGATTTGATGGGACCAACAAGAACACCAAGTTATAGCGGCCATCACTATGTTATGGTGTTGGTGGATGATCACTCAAGGTTCACTTGGGTGAAATTTTTGAAAGAAAAGAGCGAAGCATTATCCAAGTTTATGGAGTTCAAAGATGTTGTTGCGAATGAGTTCAAGAAGAAGATAAAATGGCTTCGTAGTGATAATGGCGGAGAATATATGTCAGATGACTTCTATTGTCATGATAATGGAATTGTTCATCGAATGACTTGTGCAGATACACCTCAACAGAATGGAGTTGCGGAAAGAAAGCTTGCCTATCTTACTTCAGTTTGTCGTTCATGGTTGCAAGACAAGAGTCCTCCTCGAGAGCTTTGGGCTGAAGTTATTCAATGTGGATGCCATGTGATAAATATGCTGCCTCCTTGGCCAAGTACACAAAAATCCCCTTTCGAAATTCTATATAGTCAGAAGCCAAATGTGAACTATTTTCGAGTTTTTGGTTTTGTGTGTTATGTTCATGTTCCCAGGACTAATAGAACCAAACTTGATCCGAAAGCAAGAAAATCTGTATTTGTTGGCTATGATTCTTATAGGAAGGGTTGGAGATGTGTGGATCCAAAGACAAATAAGTTTACCATTTCTAGAGACGTGGTATTTGATAAAGTGTCATCCTTATTTTCTGCCCAAAAGGTTGTAGTTCTTGGAGATGATCAAGATAATTTAGAGCTATTATTTCCTGAAGTAAATGGGCCAGCACCTAGTAATGAAGAGGCATAAAGTGTATCTCCGAGTCAGAACATTTCCAGGGAAGGAGATGGTGAACATCAAGCAACGAGAAGGCCAACAAGGGAGAAAAGGCAGCGGGACTACCTCAAAGATTATGAGGTAAAACTTAAAAATTATTATGTGACCTCATGTTTCTTTTCAGGAGCATCAACGACAGAAGAACCATTAAGTTATGAAGAAGCAAATGGCTGTCCAGATTGGGAAAGATCAATGCAATAAGAGATTGATGCTTTAGACAAGAATGAAATCTGGGAATTGGTACCCAAACCAGAAAAATGCGTTCCAGTTACTTGCAAATGGGTGTTTCGCTTGAAGAAACAATCAGATGGAACCATTGACATTTTTAAAGCTCGTGTAGTTGCTCGTGGGTTGTCTCAAAACTATGCATTAGATTATGAGGAAACGTTTAGTCCGGTGGCGAAGATGGTGACAGTAAGGTCACTTATTTCTCTAGTTTCTTTCAAAGGTTGGAATATGTGGCAACTCGATGTAAAGAATGCATTTCTTTATGGAGAGTTGGATCGAGAAGTATTTATGGAGCAACCTCACGGTTTTGTCTCTAAGCAATTTCCAAGTCATGTTTGCCGTTTGAAGAAAGCTCTATATGGCCTCAAGCAAGCACCACGAGCTTAGTATGGTAAAGTTGCGCAATACCTAATCTTTTGTGGTGTTAGATTTTCTGATTCGGATTCTTGTTTATTTATGAAATTAGAATCAAGTGTGCATCTCCTGATACTATTATATGTTGATGATATGATAATAGCTGGAGATAATGAATCAAAAATTTCTAATTTAAGGACTGACTTGTCTGTTCATTTTGAGATGAAAAATTTGGCGCAATTGGATGTTTTCTTGGTTTGGAAGTGGAAAAATCAGATCAAGACTATTTTGTGTCTCAAAAAGGTTATGCAGAGAGTCTCTTAGAGCGTTTCGGCTTGGGGGAGTAGAACGAAAATGCTACTCCAATGGAGCCAAATCTCAAGTTGAAGAAGGATGAATGCCAGTCTTTGAAGGATGCTATCAAGTTCCGACAACTAGTTGGAAGTTTGATCTATCTGACTATCACAAGGCCAACAATATGTTATTCAGTTGGTGTTGTGTCTCAGTTTATGCATAGTTCAACAACTTCTCATTTAGATGCAGCAAAAAGGATTTTGCGCTATGTGAAGGGATCTCTTAGTCAGGGACTTTGGTACAAAAGGTGTGCAATTTTTTTATTGAGTGGATTTACTGATGCAAATTGGGCAGGTGATTCAAATGATCGCCGCTCGACTTCAGGTTACTGTTTTAGTACTGGGTCAGCAGTGGTTTCCTGGTGCAGCAAGAAGCAAGATGTTGTTGCTTTGTCTACCACCGAAGCTGAATTATCGCAGCAACCATGGCTACACGAGAGTGTAATTGGTTGAAAAGGTTGATGAAAAACATGTCCCACAAAGTAGACTATGTTGTGCAAATCAAGCGTGACAATGAAAGTGCCATCAAACTTGTGTGATTGATCAAAGACATGTCCCACAAAGTAGACTATGCTGTGCAAATCAAGTGTGACAACGAAAGTGCCATCAAACTTGCGTCAAATCCAGTTTTTCATGCTCGAACGAAGCTTATTGAGATCCGCCATCATTTTGTTCGTGAGAAAGTTCTAAGTGAAGAGATTGAACTGACAAATGTTCACACCAACACTCAAGTTGCTGATATATTCACTAAAGCTTTGGAGAAGTCTAAGTTTCAGTACTTTCGAGATGCTCTGGGAGTTGTTGATCGTGAGCTTGCACTAAGGGGGAGTGTAACAAATTAGTGCAACATACTGTGTTCTTTGTTTACTGCATTTACCAAGTCAAAACAGTCATAGAAAGGGGCCTGAAAGTTAGGAACTTTAGGAGTAAGTTTAGGAGTTTGTTTAGTGGAATAAAAACACTATAAGTTAGGAGTTATATTAGAAGTAGGAGTCAGTTAATATAGAGTTAATATACACTCTCTGTTTTCTCCTGTAATTTAGTTAGTATTTTTGTTACTCAAGAAGAGCTTTCGGCTGTTTCTTTTCTTTCCTTCTTTACTGTTCCTGCCATCTTTCTTTAGTTATACTTATGATGTACTAATTGAATTTGATTTTTGCAATGTAACATGCCTCTAAGACAATTCTATGAAGTAATATCAACTGTCCAAAGAATAAAAACAAAAGAATATGATTAAGAGATTAACATATAGTATCATGGATAATATGAGATCTCAAAAGTAAAAAACCAAGTCTAAGCATGAAACTTTTTATCACTAACTAAAAACTTTAGAAGTTGCATTTTCATCCATATACAAGTAATAGATTCCCAAGCATATACATATGGTAGGCATGTGAAATAAAAATCAGTCTATATATTAATTAGTCTATCAATTAATCTCAATCATATCTAGACGTATTGTTCACCAAGCTATGATCCTATTATTGTAAATCATATCAACTAAAGAAAGCTTATGAGTTAAGGTATAAGAATATTACCTTTTATTAGATTGCTAGGGAAATACATGACACCTTCTTTCTAGTAAGCATGAAAGCTAGTATAGAATTTAGGAGTAAACATAAATACAAAAGAGAAAAAATGGAAATTTGATTGATTTATTTAGCACAGTGAACTTTACTACATTTTCCTCATCGGAATGGTACTTATTCATTCCAATTTACATGTCTTACTTTTTTTTTATCTATCTCAAACAGAGTATATATTATTGAAAATAAATGATGATTCTATGTAATACTGGATTGCCTTAATAGTACAAAATATGGTATCAAGCATTACGAAAAACTAGACCTAACCATCTAAATAATTAGATACACCAAAAGCAAGGAGCAAGAGACAAAAAAGAATTGAAATTATAGCTCTAGAGCGTTAATATCCTAAACCATGGCCTAAGAGTCTATAAATTTTGCAATAAGGAGGAAATCTTCTCTTTATCTCTACTTAGTTACCAACAATAAAGTATTATAGCATTTTCTACCCTCTATCTTGTAAACTTAGGAAGTAGCTGAAGCGTAAAGTATTGCACATGTTCAAAATTATTTAATTGGGAATACTTAAGTGCCTAGGTATCCAAAAAGATCCTATGGATTGGAATCAAGAACTACAATGGGCCATTGACCATGATAAGAGAATAAACAATAAGACAAACATTTATAGAATGGTGTTGGCTGCCTGTGTTTATCACATATGGATTGGAAGGAAGAATAAAATTTCCCATGGAAGGCAAGGGACCCTACTTTACTAATTAGATATATCACTTCGAAAAGTGTTCTGCAAGGGACATATTAGGCCTAGACTAGTACAAAAATTGGACCACCTCAATTACTATCCATAGTTCCTGCTTCCTAGTAGTTTTTTAAATGGTGTGTTATGATCATGATTTAGTTTGTGTTTGAGATAAGTAATTTAGATATTTGATCATGCTCTACTTATTTGGTGATGCCTAGTTCAATATTTTTTATTCTGTATAGAAACATTTACTTGGTATATAAAATTTATTTTATAATAAGAAAACTGATGATCACATCTTCTAAGATACTAATTATCTTAAAGCTCCAGCGCCCTTAGAGAAGCATAGATTATGTTAACCCTATATGACTCTAGTAACTCTTTCTTAGTCGACTAACTGAAGAAAAAAGTCAACTTTCCTTCAGGTTAGTATAAACGATGATAAGTAATGATACATGATAAAGTTAAATAAGACAAGTAATTTTATACTATTTTAGATCACCGATGTGGTGCCTAGTCAAGTCCTCTTGGGTTACAAGGATTTCCTTTACGAGCTTCTTGTAAACTTGTGGGTACAACAATTTTGATTCTGGAATTCTAATAGCCTTTACTTTCTAGGCACAACCTCTACATGTATAACTCACACTATCTTTTTTTTCCTTAAAATTGTAGACTGAGAGAGTACAATGCTTTATGAAATACAAAAGAAATATAGTACATCAGTTCAAGTGAAGTGCACAAACTTCTCCTAGTACTAGGGCAAGTTTTTGTGGACACTTTCTTCGCTCTAAAAGGAAAAGACAAAGGTACTTCATTAAATCAAGAATTTGTAATGATTCCTTGATTGAGGATTGAGAAATTAGAAGAAGAAAAGAAGAAAAAGAAGAGATAGTGGGAATTGAATTAATTGATCATTGTAACGACCGGTTCCCGTCGTTATTGAAAAGCCAACGGGGAAAGTTTTTGGACCGAATAACTTTTTGGTAGTATCTGGAAATTTCCCAACCTAGTCCAGATTCGGACGAAATTAGAGTCAGTGAGGTCTAGGGAAATATGGTAACAAATGGGAGGTATGAGTGTGAATTTGATCATATGAGTAGATAGCTAAGACTTTAAGGAACCCGTACGACTTTACGAAATTGAATTTGGGTGAATAGAACACCCGAAAATGATCTTAGCATGAACATGTATTTTATGAGTGTCGTGGGAGGAAGGTGTGTTGTGAAATAAGGGTTTGGAAATTATTTAATTAGCTCTCTGTTCCGTGCAAGTTTCTATGATGGGATTTCTCCCGACAGGGCGTGGCCGCTGCAGCGGGGTGAGGACCGATGTGGTGGGACAAACGCAACTTAAGTTAGAAATAAAACCCAAAAACGTTTTATTCTGCAAGTTTCGACTTTGAGAGCTAAGGAACGACCCCAGGTGTTTTCTTGAAGTATTTCACCATTCTTGAGGCTAAAGGTAAGGTTTTCACTCCCCGAGTCCATTTTCGATCCGTAGAACTTAGTTTTTTTGGGTAATTATCGATGGGGGAGGGTTTTGATCTAGGATTTATGGTGGAAAAAGCCCTAATCTAGGTATGGGGATCAAGGGTTTGACCTAGGGTTGATGATTTCGATTATACTCCTGGTAATTAGGTTTCGTTTATTGATCCTTGTGTTATATTGATTGTTTGTAGACAAAGAACAAGTGGAAAGAATATAGAAAAGGGAAGAATCAAGTTTCTTAGAGGATTCAAGCTTTGTTCAGGGTAGGTGATGGTTTCGATTTCATGTTGTGTGATATATGGTTGTACATGCTTCATTATATTGCATGTATGTATTGATGAGTCCATGATTTGGACTCATTTAGAGCTTAATTTTAATAGATTTAGTGTCCTCAAATGCATATTTTGTCTCAATAACTGATATAAATCCTTGAATTTCAAGTATTTGAACTTAGGGACAAAGCATGGACACTATTGAGGAAAATGGAACAAGGCAGCTAAAATAACGAAGAAAAGAAGGCCTGAGGATCGCCTAAACCATTGGGCGAGTCACCGAATGGCCTTGGTCTCGCCTAATGTTCCAATGTGCCAAGCCCTGAAGAAGAAAATCAAGTTAACGATAGAAAGGAGCAGTTAGCGAGTCGCTAAATAGTTCTGCGATGCAGTGCCTTATCGCACAAAGTTACAGGACCTCAAGGATGCTGAAGGCAAAAGCAAAAAGGCGATACAAATGACCAAAGGGCGGATGGCCGAGTGTATCGGTGATCCCGACTAACTGCGCCGACTGAACCTTTGTAGCACTCTTTTTGACAACTATAAATACTTGTTTAAATTTTTAGCTTAGTATCAGATTTTGTAGGGAAACATATTATTATTCAGTTTTTGATGTTTAGAACTTAGAACTGAGTTTGAGAGACATTTTTCCTTAGCTTTGAAGATTTCCATTTCTAAGAAATTGGAAGTGGGTATTGAAGATTCTTCATCTTAGACGTTTGTAAATATAATATTAATCGTACCTAGTTGATGGAAACGCATTTCGGTATCGATTTCTATCTTTTTACTATGTCTAGCTAAAACCCCAATTCTTGGGGTGTGATTATGTCATTATGGGTTGAATTAACTGTTGGTATTGTTAATTGATAGTCTATTTGCTATTTAAAAGTGATTTCGTTCAGTAATTGTGGTTGAATTTAATGGGTTGTAGTTGCAAATACAATCCTAACATCGTGTTTTTGGCTTGCGCGAGAGAGAGGTTTTAAAACCAAAATTGTTGAATCGATGGTCTGTGGGTATTGGGTTGTCATGGATTCAGCTCGAGAGAGTGAACCCTAAACCCTTTTCCATACATTCAGCTCGAGAGAGTGAATGGACTAAAGTGAAGGCTGTGCTTCATTGCCGCTTATTGGTGTTCGAGAAAAACCAATTCGATTCGGGGTAAATTGTTCGAGAGAAAGTTTACCCCACTAAAGTCTAGCTTATTCACTGATTTGCAGCGGTTTACTATTAATTGCAACTACCCGGTTGTTTACCTTAGCCCATAATCCTATTACATCCCAAGAATCCCGTCTCCATATTCGTATTTCCATATTATTTGCTGTTTTTAGTTGCTAGTTGACAACAAAACCCCCTTTTGATATTTGACACTTGTGTCAACCCTTAATTTATCATGTTTTTCTTCGCA